CACAAAACTTTTGTCCCGGTAATTGAATTGAAAGGAAGAACATTTGATTGGTTTATTAGTCAATTGCATTATCTCTTCAGTGGGTTCTAATCCATAAGAATCGAAGAAATATAAGTCAGAGACTTTGTACAAAGCAGAATGATGAACTCCTTTTTGATCGGAAGTATGTATATTTGTTATAGCGTAAAATTTACTTTTCTTATATTTCAGATCATTTATTTCATCTCTCATACAATAATAAAACGGTGATATATTCTCATTCGCAAATCTCATAAGTTGAAAGTTTGTGGTTGTGTCGCTTCCATATTTATCGAGAAATTCATTCATTTTTAAAAGTCGGTTTTTGAGGAGTATATATGTAGTTTGTGTTTGAAAAAAGTTGTATTACATTCTGATAAAACACATTCATTAATATTTTGAACATAAATTTAAATTTAAGAAAGCGAAAATGCTTGTCTACATCTCTTAATCTTCTGTCAAATTTTTCATCTTCGAGAAATTCATTCATTTTTAAAAGTCGGTTTTTTGAAGTTCATTTTGATAAAACCTTCCTATGATTTGTTCTTTGTCTTGATCGATTAATTCATATGTTGGAGGTGATGTGGTGGTTACTTTATCAACGATGAATATTTCGTTCGTCCAGTATCCAACGTAACCTTTTTCGAATTTGCTTGTATATTTGAAAAAACAAACTCGATCTCCGACTTTAAATTTGGGTTTGATATTCAAATTCTTTATTTCATCTTCGTAGTTATGTTGCGCGTTAATTTACTTTATAATATTTGGATTACTCGAGGCTTGTGTTGGTGTTACACCTATAGATGAATGAATTTTGTTATTGTATTCATCTACAACCTCTGGTAATATTTTAAGCCATTTTTGAGATAACTTTTTAAATAATTTATTTTTTAGAGTCCTGTTAAATCTTTCTATTACTACAGCTTTACCTTCGTTATGCGTACTGTAAATTTCAAATCCCAGAGATTTAATATTTTTGTTATAAAATTCAAGTCCTTTATCTACCCACAGTTTTTCTGGATGTCGGTTAGATTGTTTCATAATCGTTTCAAATGCGTGTTTGACTGATAATCCCGTTTTGTTTTTCAAAGGAATAACGCAAGCATATCTCGTATACAAATCTATAACTTTTAAGCAATATTCAAATCCTCTTTCGACTGGCATATGAATTAAATCGGCTGACCATATTTCATCTTTTTCAAACACTTTAACTTTTAAAAAGTTTTTAGTTTTTCTAAATTCTTTATGAATTTCATCCGCCAACCCCATGCCCAATTTCATCTTTGCTTTTAACAGTTTTATGATTAATACTCTTTGCATGCTCTCTTTGAAAGTTGGATTTGGAATATTTTCAAGTTTGATTATCATTTGTCTGTCTGCTTCGTGTCTGAAGTTTATGTCTTTGTTTCTGTATAGTATGTCGTGTTTAAGCGCAGCGGCGTCAACTCTATTGACTGGTTCTTCCCCTGGTTTGGGTTTATCGTTTTAGTCTAATCGCAGATCTAACCTAGTACCTGGACTGGTGTAATTATGACCGGGATATTTCGCCCATGGAAATCCAGGAAGAGAACCCAATGTTTTTTGTATATCTCCTGAACCGAAATAAGTTTTTGGAGCGTGAGCGACTATCATTTTTATCCTATAACTTTAAAACCTTTTCCTTTCCTTTCTTCTAATCTCCTGTTTTGAAGTTCTCGTATTAGCTGTAATTCTTTCAACTCGTTAGATTGTTTCACTGCGTCGCTTATACTCTTTCCTGCTTGCGCGATTGAGCCAACAGCTTTCGCTCCGGTTGAAATGAGTGATTTGTTGTTTGAAACAAAGCTAACTACTTCTGGAATTATTTTTGAACCTAGAGAAAATATTGATGAAAAGATACCGTCGCCCGAATAATCTTCGAATTTGTGTTTTTCGTGTTTTAGAATTAAACTCATCCTATTTTAAATGAACTAATTTAACGAAGAGATTGTGTTTCCAAAAAAGAGTTATCTCCCTTTTCTAGACTAAAAATAACATTATTTAAAACGAGGCTATTAAAAACCGGATGTTAAGCGAAACAAGGATGTTATTTTATATAAGAGTATTTGTAATATGCTTTTTTTTATGGAATGTAGGAAATTGATTGAAGGTATTTTTTGGTCTTTTTTAATGCAAGAATTTTACACATTGGTCGCATTTTTCCCATGAAATGAAATGGAATGAAGAATCCCTATGCGACCAATGTGTAAGCTCATATACTACTCAAAAATCACACACTTTGTGCAAAGATGACTTCAAGGATAACAAATTGATGCTAAATTGGTTAGTTCTGAAAAATGTTTTGCATATTTTTCATTTATCAGTCGCTAAATTGGATCTCTATAATTTATACCCTAGTATCTACTACCTTCGAAGTCAATTTTATTTTTAGTGAGTCCCAATTTATTCAATGTTAACATGGATATTCTATATTCTGAAAGAATATATTTTGAGGTTTCAGAAAAATATAGTTTTGGTCTGTGGTGGGGGTAGTAAGGTAAGCCTCTCCAGCCCACGTACTAATTGAATTATCCGGAAATGTTGCAGTTTCGCGCCAACCACCTTTTCGATAATCCATTAATGTGAATTTGACAGAAAATGCTGTATACTGTAAACTTAATATTAGCTTAAAAAAAAATTCATAGCAGTTTACAGATGGGATTATTCCGGTAAAGGCGAAATTGAAGTGGACATAATTCATTCGAGTTGTTGGACTGGCTTTGCTGAATCATTGATTCGCATGCCATTTCAAATATGAATATTCTGTTGTAAAGATTAAAGAAGATATTCTTTTCATTCGTCTTCTGAAAACTATACAATAGCTGTCTGAAAATTGACAATATATGACAAAAAACTCAACCATGAACTTTGAGACTCAATAATCTTTGCAAAACTTTGCCAAGATGAATATTCGTTTAAAACTGTTTCAATACGAAAGTTCATTATAAATCATATGAATTTCCTTTTCTCGGTCTTTTGTAAATTTATATATCGTACATTCTTCAAAAACTGTCTGAGGATGTCAAAGTAGTATATGTGTTTTCTGATATAGCGCATCCAGTTTGATCCGGTTTTTTCTCCGGTGACGGAGAAGTTTTAAAAGAACCGGTCAGAACTGTAGCAAATGACGCAGACCTTGCTAGGATAAGGGTAGTTGCTAGAAACACACTGGAAAGAGTGACTCGCGGAGTAAATCACAGATTTGAAAAACGAGCGCTTTTACGAGGGGTAGATCCGTAAATTGGAAGTTGTATCCTTTATTTGGTCTCTTGGAACACAGAAAGGTTTCCATAGGTTTACCGTATAAAATTCATTTGCAAAGAGAAATCAACGACAACAAGATATTCTTTGGTGAAAACAACTCTGACGCAAAATTGGAAATAACGAATATCCAACTTTACATACCGGTAATCACTCCTTCCGTAGAAGTGGAAACGAGAATATTCAACTCTTTAACCAAAGACATCGAAATTGCTTTTCTTCGTCGTAACACGGTAGGTAGCATGACTTTAACGGGAGAATCCACCACGTGGCCAATCACCAACACCGTCAAACCAGCGAGATATTTAATGGTCGGTTTCAAAAACTTGCCAGACTCTCAGACAAACAACAACAACATTTTCAGAGTGGCATTGAACCATACTCAAGATCCCATCATTCGCAAAGTTCAAGTCAGATTGAACAACGATAATAATCCCAATCAACCTTTGACAATTGATCCTTCCAAAAAAGATTACAACGAATTGTACAGAAACTATAAAAACATAATGGTAAAAAAATCAGCATAACTAAAAAACTTATTGATAAATAAAAACATTGCAAAGTCAGAGACGATATAGAATTTGAAAGAATTGATGAGAATTTAACTAAAAAAGGTGGATTTTTACCTTTCTTACCTTTAATCTTTGCTGGTTTAGCTGCAGCTGGTGCAACTGCTGGTGGAGCTGCTGGGATAGCCAAAGCTGTCAACGATAAGAAAGCTGAAGCCGCTGCAAACGCCGAAGCACGTAGACACAATTTGGCAATGGAAAGAGAAGCACGAGGAGGTTCGGGAGTCGGAGATATATTAGGGACGGTTAAAGAATTCGGACAAAGATTTGGCGAAGAAACCAAGAAAACCGTTAAAGAGGGATTAAGCAAATTAATAGATAAAATCGACACTGGAGAAATGAAGGTCAAACACAAGGGCAACGCCATATTTTTTAAAAACATACGTTCGGGTGAGGGAATCTTCCTTTCAAAGTATAAAGGCAACGGGGTGATTTTTGATACGAAAATGTAATAAATAAAAATGGGCAAGAAATTCAAACATTCGGACATATTTCCTAGTAACACAATGCTCATGTGTATTTGCGGTAGTTCAGGTTCTGGGAAAACTCATCTCACTTTTAACATGTTGACAACACCAAACCTTTTAGATTTCAATTCTCTGTATAACTATACAACAACACCAGAGCAATCGTATTATCAATTCCTCAAAGCTTTAGAATATTTACCAAAGAAAGACGTTCAAGACACATTTCAATATTACGAAGAAAACGAAGAAAAGGTGGAAATAAAAGATATCATAGAAAACTTCATTAAATCAAAGAATCCATCTTTCAATCCAACGGATATAAAAGTTTTTCTTACGAAAAATGTTAATGATCTAGACTTGTCTAATATTGATAGCAATCGAAAGAACTTTAATATTGTTTGACGACTGCGTAGCGCAAAGAAATCAAACTGTTCAACAAGAATTCTTGTCACTGCATATACCAATCCCAATCTTTTTACGGGATGGATTCTATGTTCATTAGAAAAAATGGATAGAGATACATTTAAAAAGGTTTGTAAAGCTCAATGGAGAAACCCAGATGATCATGGATATGTATTTGTAAATACTAGAAAACCTGCGGGTGAAAGAGTTATGATCGATATATGTTAATTTTATTTTTTTTAAAATGACGGATTGGAATAATATTTTAAAAAGAAATAGAGAATATATCAAAGCTAAGAATAAAATAAAGACCCAAGTTGAAAATAACAGATTACAACAACTCGGATTAACGGAAAATCTACAGACTCTATTTCAACCCATATTAAAAAGTCAAGAAGATATTAAAAAGAGACTCGCTATAGAACCCACACCTCATCACCCCAAAGCGATTGAATATAGTGGTGTTATAATTAGGACAGTAGATGATGTAAAACGTCTTTTTTCAAACCCTAGCCCAGAATTACCAAAAAGCATTTCACCAATCATTGATGAAGCGCGTTTTGTTGTTCAATGGTTTTAGAATAAGATTTAGGACAAATACCCCCGAATTTATAATCGATACAAAAGATTACGTATACACATTAACGAGAGGGTTAATAGATTTAATGAATGGCGAGGATGTTGAAATTGCCGATTACAAGGATTTAGTAGCATACTCAAAATTTCTACATGCGATCAGAAAGTCAGGACCCGAAACAAGAGGATTGAAAGAAGTTGATTTATATATAACAAAAGTTATTGAGCAAGAGGAGGTAGATGATTATGCAGAAGAGTATCCACCAATCATACAAGGAATAGACGAATTCGATGATATGGTGGCATCTGGACAAGGTATAACGTTTTTATCCGACAACAATAAAGAATTGCTTAATAGTTTCGAAATAATATTAGCGGCCATGAAGGAAGGTCATCGATCGGACAGACAATACAACGAAGTCAATGGCATATTAAAACGGCTTTTGGAGAAAAAAATCATCACTAAAAAAGACTATATAAACGTCATTAAAAATGTCCAATAAAGAACAATTGTTCGTTATCACCTCGAATAAATCAGACATCAAATTGTCTCTAGACTACGAGTATGAACTCGATCGCAATAAACAGTACGAACTGGGATTAAAGTATTTCTCCGTTTACAATTCCATTAGAAACATCATCCGAATACGCAGGAAGCGTGAACGGCAAAAACAATATCGAATTCGAAGGTAATTTGAATCAGAACAAAATAAAACTGATCTTGAGAAATAACAGTCAAGTCGATTTTAACGTAGAAAATTCGTTGAAAGCGTTACTAGGGTTCGATAAACGAATATACGCGCAATCGACATTGGCGCCGCACAAGGCCAACATCGAGAACGACATCGACGTGATCAACATTCACTGTAATTTGATCAACGGTGGATTTTTCAACAAGCACAAACGCCAAATCATATACAGCATACCGACTTTTACGGTGCCGATCGGATACAGAATTATAGAGAAACCGTTTCAAACGACCTATTTACCAGTCAATTCTTTCATGATCAAAGATATAAATCTGGAAATCAAAGACGGTAAAAACAGGTTCATAGACTTTGGCAACGAAGAAATTGTCATTCAACTTCATTTAAAACAATCTTCATTCTCTTCTTGAATAGTAAAATAATCGAAATCATCAAATTCATAGTTTTCATCAAAACTATACTCATCTTTGTCGTTGTAAGGATACATAATTCCTTCACTGTTTGGTGGTTTTCTTTTAACATTATTCAAATAACTTCTAAAAACTTTAGTTTGTTTATCATTTGGAATAACTACTCCATTGGTGAAACTTTTTTCCCATGGTTTATTAAATTCGTTCGACACATCATGTCCGCTTGCTAACTGAACGTAATCTTCTACACTTATCTTATCATTAGAATAACCTTTAAACCTTTTCTTTTCTTTTAAGACACCATCAGAAGTCAAAACGATGTTGTATTTCACCGTCACCGTAATCATTTTTACCTTTGCAATAGTCTTTTTCGGAGACCAAACCAGCTCTGTTTAGTTTTTTCCAATTTTTGGATGAAATGTACAAACTATCGGTGTCGGTATAGTATATTTCGGGTTTATAAAATCCATTTATGACGTGAATGAAATTGTTCATTATTTTTTTACTGTGAGATAAAACGAATGATCCCAAATGACTAGGTGTTAGTCGTGTAGATTTACTATCTTCGATAGTAATCTCTTTTTCCTCAATTTCTGTTTCAACAATATATTGAGTATCATTAATTTTCTCATAGGTTTTAACGCGTGAATCAAAGTTGGCCTGTAAAGTTGCTTCATTCCATAAATGTCTAGTTGTGAATATATCTTTCTGAATTGATTTACCATACAAGGAATTACCTAATAATTTCATGCAGTTACTACCCACGATATTACCTTCTCGTTTATATTTATTTCTTAAATCTCTCAAAATTAAAATATAATCTCTATAGGGTGGAGTTTTAAAATTTTCTTCGTAAACTATACCATCTAATATTCTAATAATTCGTCCACCGGCTTTCACTATTTCTTGAATATCGACCGATGTTAAAACGTCGTGACAGAAATCATTTCTGAACCTGATTTTGTTACCAGTTTCCTTTTTACCTTCTTTATTCGTGAAAGTGATTTTATCTTTAGCTGGTATCGGTTGGAAGAACATGTTTTTGGGATAGTCAAACCACACTGTTAAAATAGCTGTTCTAGGTCTGAATTTTTGTTTATTGAAGAGTTTTACAAATTCTTTTTCTTCTTCTGGTAGAAACGGTCTTCCACTTTCTGCTCTCGGATATTCACTGTCTAAATCCGACATGGCGGAAGCGTATAAACCGTTAGCATCAAATGCCATTAGTTTAGTACATTCTATTTTTTTAAGTCTCGAATGAACCTCCGTTTTGACTTTTGTGCTTGCACTGTATTCTTTGAATAAATCAATTATGTTATTACTTTCTGTGTCGCTTCGTGTTTCACTTTGTGAAATATATTCCTTTAATACGTTACAAATTTCATCCATTTTGTTCGTTTCAAATGATTTTCTATTTGCCGAAACTCTTCCTCCTTTAATAGATCGTCTGATAAAATTTCTTATAAAGGGATTAGTGTGCGAATAAACTTTCTCTACGTTTTCTTTTTCGGTATGTTTCGCAACCATTCTAGTAGTTTCATACCATTCTTCTTCCACCATTTCTTTATCGTAATGATATAAATAATACCAACCCTTTAAAGATAAAGATGGAGCCGTTAGATTATTGGACATATTCTGGTTTACAACTTCTTTCGTGACTTGGTTGTATTTTATCAAACAAGCTCCCAAACAGAGAGTGTCTCTCTTGGCGTAAGGTTCCCATTCGTGTCTCAATTCCTCCCAGTTGTCTTGCGTGTATTTAGCGATATCTACGTCGGCAATCTTTCTCAAATTCGCTGGGAGATTGGAAGAATTTCCCCATGCAGCCAAACTAGAGGATTCGTGTTGATAGGAACACGTGAAATTAATATGTTGTAAATAATTACCCTTTATTTCTTTCTGTCTTTTCCATTTTTTCTGTAAATCTTCATCCATGTATGGATTAGATAAAGGAAAAGATAGAATTCCTCTGGGTGTTTTTAAAGGGCAATGCGTTAGTTTTTTAGCATTTTTAAGCACGATCAAGTTGTCGAATCCACTGCCGTTATGAGAAATTAATATTAATCTCTTTCTATCATATTGACATAACTATTTCAACATTTGATCTATACAATCTGTACCTACAAATAGTTCTACTACATTCATTAGTTTATCATAAAATTCTTCTGGAACATTATCAGTAGGATTTATATTTGGAAAGATATTTTTTATCGTTTCTAACTTTTTTCTTAGTTTTTCTAAATTAATTAAAGTGCAGGCATAAGGAATTGTTCTTCGACTGTTTTTTCTGAATACGTTTCGCAATCCCAAGCGAATAACGCATCATCACTCATACTCGAAAGCACGTTTAGTTTGAGGGGTGAAACCTGTGTTACTGCGTTATCGTCTCTACACGTTTTCCACACCTGTTCGTAATTGTCTTCTATTTCTTGAATTCCCAAACTTTTTTGGCTTCTTCTAATCAAACAGAAATGCGAGTTGTGTAAGTAAAAAACCCAATCTAATTCATCGTGAACGTCTCTGGGATGAAAATGTCTGTTTTGGGATTATAAATTTGAAACGAAGTGTTAAATTTCTTGTTGAATTCCTTCATTCTAGCACAAGTCATCACTCCTTTTCTATTTGCTTTTGAAAACCCGTTGATGTATTCTTGAAATTTACACGTTAAATCTTTGTTTAAAACACGATTGACGCATTTGATGAAACAGTGACCATCTGTAGGTATGTAACAATTTTCGCCTTCGTATTCATTAATCTTTTTAAGTAGATCAGTTCCTTCTCTGCCAACTCTCGATCTTTTTATTTCTTGGAAATTGTCTTTCATTAAAATTATTTTTCCTGTAAAATACCAATCGGAAGCATCGGATTTTTTGTCCATATTTGAAAAGATATTGTGAAAAGTTGCATTGAAACCGAGGAGTGACATGTATTGTCTGTGATTCCCTTCCCCGACTATCTCTCCATCTATTTTAATTTGTCCTTTGAATGTTTTAAATTTATCAGAAATAGCCTTGATAACATCGGAAAATAGGGCGTTTTCTATCAATGTTTCATCGTCTGCAAGTTTGATTTTTTTCATATTTTTTTAAGTATATATTTTTAATTATTTCTTTATTTTGACCGCTGATATTTCTGTATGGAATTTGTCCAAAATTTCATTGAATTCTTGTAATTCTTCAACTGTTATGTTCTTGTCTTCTCTCGATCTTTCGAAAAAGATGTACAATTGATTAAGATACATATTCAAGATATCCGTTTTCTTTTTATAATGAGCTTTCTTTTTGCTCGTGAAACCTAAAGTGATGAGACCGCAAGAGGTCGTTTGAACGGCTGTTAATGCAGCCAATACGGTTGGGACGATGACCGGAAGCATTAATCCACCAGTCACGGCCGTTGCCACCGTTACTCCTACCGTTAGAACTGTGCTCGCTGTTTTGAAAAAAGAATCGATTCTACTCCATGTTTTCCTGCATGTATTGCACTGTCTCAACTTTATTTTCAACTCTTCTTGTTTGTCTATCATGTATTGTTGTCTGCTTTCGAGATCCATTTTTTTAAGTCGTTAAATTAAGTGAATTTCCGATAAATAGAACCACGGAATATCGTATAGAACGTTGTTGTTTGGCCTAGCATTATTATATTTGCGGGTATTAAAAGTAAAAACATTTACGCGTACTAGCGACATTTCTTTTTTCGTATGGTCCTCTTTAAGATGATAGGAATATTTTATTTTTTCTTTTTCGATGTTTATCTTGGCTCTAAAAATAAAACCACCACCTTCAAAGATGGAAAAATCGTCATGAATTCTAGATACCAAAAGATTGACCTGTTCTTTAATATAATTTTTCATATCTTTTTAACCACACCCACTTCTTTTTCTAATTCGTCCGTGATTTTAGTATCCAAAGCAGTCAATTGTCGTTTCAACGTATCTTTGTCAATGGGAAGTGTGTTAATTATATCTTGAACATCTGATTTTTCGCGATCTTTTCGTTCAAATTGGATATCGAATTTTGTAACTCGGTTTTGTCCGCGGTCTTGTCTAGTTCTGCTAGCAATTCGCCAAGTTTTCTTTCCAAAGCGGTTAGTTTTCGTTTCAATCTATCCTCGTTTACATTTGGGTTGTCTATTAAACGTTGGACGTCTATTTTTACCTTCGTAATCTTATCGTCTAATTTAGATATTAAATTTTGCAACTGACATGTTTTATCCACTTGAATAAGACGTTTCAAACTCGTTAACTCTTGTCGTAGTTTGGGTTCGTTCACAAGATTTTTAATATTTCGTCTGAAGTATTTTTTCACGTCATTTATTCTATTTTCAACATGGTCCTTATCTATTTGAATTGCGTTTATTTGATCCAGTAAATATTTCTTGTTCACAGCATCGTTATCGTTTCCTGGAAACTTTAAATTAGTTATTTTGAAATTGTTCATATCGATATCCCCTTGTAA